GGGCTGCTACTTGAGCCTGCTTAACATCTGCTCCTAGACTCTCCAAGCGCTGAAGACTGACCGGGCTGGCTAACTGTGCCACGACTTCTGCCTAGAGCTACTTGCTCTTACTATCACAACGCCTCCACTGCTATTGCTAAGTACTGCTCACTTTCGCTGCTACTACTGCTGCTGGCTAACTACTACTCACTACTTCACTGCTGCTTGACTCGCTTACTCACTGCTCTGGCTACTCGCTACTGCTGCTGCTACTGCTACTACTGCTTACTTGCTACTACTGCTACTACTCGTGCTGCTGCTACTTCGCTGCTAGTCTGCTACTGTCTACTCGCTATACTGCTGTGCTACTTGCACTCCTTATACTGCTACATGTCCTATGCTACCTACTGCTCGCCTTGCTACTGCTACTCTGCTATCTGCTACTACTGCCCGCTGCTACTTGGTCTCACTGAGCTACTCGCCGCGCCGACCGTTGCGCTTTCACAATCTCGCTACTTACTGCTTTTTCACTAAGCTGCACTGGGCTACTAGCCTGCTAACTCCGCTACTCTCGGCGACTAACGCTACTGCGCTGCCTGCTACTGCTATCACGTGCGCCGGCTGCTTCGCTGCTTACTGTAACCTGGACAGTCCCGCTGGAACATAAGGGCTTCAGATTTTGAGCAATGCGTTCTCCATTATGGCGCCCTTGCTGTACATGAATTCCTCAGTTCGCCAACACTATCGCTGCGCCACCAACACATCTCGAATCTCCCCCCTGCCGACGCTCCTCCTGCGCGTGTAGCTAGCGGGCGAGCGAACAGCTGGCTGTAATAGCTGATAGAACCAGAAGAGCGTGTCGCTTTCCACCCTCCCCTGCCGATCCCCCTCTCTATCTTCTCCCTACGCCTAGCCCTGCGGCGTGTGTCACCTTGTTCATGCATTATAACAGGGTGTGGTGGCGTCACTGGCGTGAGGTCTTGGCGCATGGAGAGTGCAGGAAAGGTCAGCGGTCCCGTGTGGCGGAGATGAGGGGGAGAGGGGGCGACAGGGGGAGGCGAGAGGTAGAGGGGTCGGTCCCAGCAGGCGTCGTGGCTGAGGGAGGTTACGCGGTCCCTAACGAGCGACGAATTGCACCATGTCCCTCCTCCTCGTTTTTCCTGATCAGCCTGCGCGCGGTACGGGAGCGCACCAGGGCGCCCGCGATGCAGTCGGGGAGGCCATCAGCACACGAGAGTGTAAGTCGAGGCGAGTATAGAGAGCGAGGAGCAATATGAGTAGCACAGAAGTAGAAAGGTACGACGAGGAGCAGACAATAAGGGCCATGATTTAAGACTAGAACGAGCGAAATGCGAAAGTATACAGAGGATAGAGAGAGCAGTACGAGTAAGAAAGAAGCACATAGGGTATCTAATGAGAGTAACGCGGGAAAAGCGAGAGAGATGAGCCTGAGTCATGAGCAGAGACGATAGTAGGCAGAAGTAGCAAAGGATTTAGAAGCAGCATAGAAGGCAGCGGCAGAAATTCAATGTGAGAGAGAAGGTAAGAGGAGGCAGACGTACAAGCGGCTGTTAGAGTAAAGCACAGCAGTAGCAGCAGCGAATAGCAGCAAGAAGATATGAGCAGTAGCGAGAGAAGCGCTGAGACAGCAAGAGCAAGCAGCAGCACGCGATTAGGGGATCGGATGAGGAATAGCAGGAGAAGTAGCAGCAGGCCATAGTGAGAAGGTAGAGAGATGACATAGATGTTAGAATAGAGGGAGGGCTGTAGGAGAGAAGGTAGAGAGGCGAAGTAGAGTGTAGATTGGAGCGAAAGCTACGCAGATGGTGACAAGTCCAGAGTGCACAGTCGACTCTTACAATTGCGAGCAGCGAAGCAAAGCCTTAGAGAGCGATAGAAGCCCTAAACTAAGGACAGGCAAGATCGAGCCAAGCACAGTAGCAGTAGCAGCAGCATAGCCTGGGAAGCGTTGCAGGACAGTAAAGACGAGAGCGAAGCGTTATACGAAGAATCTCTAGTGAAAGACGAAGTATGGGAGAGTGTAGAGTGCAGGTAAAGAGGAAGGCGTGGAACGAGCGGCGAGGAGACATCACGGCCTCCAGTCCGTCCGTTCCCTACTTCTCTCTCTCTCACTCATCTGCATCATCAGTCTCAGCATGTCTCTCAGCAGTAGCCAGATAGTAGCAGCAGCACAGCAGCAGACAGCAGCTCACGCCGCATAGCTCAACGCTACCTACGGTCCCTCAGTTGCTATGGCTCACGTCTAAGCACCTATCGTCATAGCTATCGATAGCAGTATCAGCAGTTGTGACAGTCGAAGTGCGAAGTGCGATCTATGAATGCTGATCCATGTTGATGTATGCTGGAGATTATCCAGCAATTAAGCCACGCGAGATTCAAACTAAGCCACCCAGGCAGCCTACGCCATGCTACGCTATGGCGAGCGAATGCTGGAGCTGAGTCGAGTGTCGTGTATCAAGACGCTAGCTCAGTCGATCGTGCTGGACGTATCTCGTGTAGTGCTAACGCAACGATCCCAGTATCTGATAGAAAAAAAGGAGTCCAGCTGTAGGTGCGTATGAGGGTGACTAAGATGTCTATACCTAATGTGCGCTGTGATGCCAAGTGAGCCGAGGCGCACAGCACGAGCAGTCAGCGTAGGTGATGAGGCGTGGGTAGTGCTGTGAGTAGGGTGCTCATGTATGCTATGTCAGGTGATGTCTCAGGTGTGATAGTCGTGTGTACTGTTTTGTTCGTATCTAGCTGTTGCCAGGCAGCAGGCAGTAGTAAGCAGCAGCAAGCAGGCCAGTAGTACAAGGGCTGAGCCGTAACAGAGCAGACGCACGTAGATGTAGTCGTGAGCTGTAGGTCGAGGTACAGCAGGGTCTATGCAGTCGATCATGCAGGATGGCCAGTGCGAGGTCAGTAGCGCGATGTGTGAGGAGCGCGACGCGAGGCGACGCGATCAGCTAGTGTGCGAGGCTAGCGAGGTCGAGTTAAGGCGCATGCCGATGCGCGTCGCGACGATGAATGTGTGTGCTGTAGGCGCTGAGTATGCGATCGAGTGATGTTGGCGATGGTGCGAGGGCAGCGCTGGTATGATTGGCAATCCAGAGCGCGTGACTAGACGCAGACAGACAGCAACAGCTCAAGGCAGAATCAGGAGTAGCGAGTGGAGTACAGATTGTCAGCAAGCCAGGCAGCAGGAGCCAGACTGCCAAAGAGTTCAAGCTGAGAAGCACGCCACGCCTGCATGGGTGCGTGTGAGTGATAGCGCGCTACGCAGGTCACCGTATACTGAGTTATAGCTATAGCTTATATAGAGAGAAGCATCAACAATATATATGAGCCTATTGACAACAGCTAGCAGTGCTCTGTTCTATCGAATCACTAATTATTACACGGTTATTTGGACTGTATGTTATAAAACTGTAGCTGTAGCTGTAACATCACCACTCAGCGCGTGTTACGGCTTAATGTGACAAGTAGAGCTGCGCGATTTGCATATATACAAGTGCAGCTGTCCCATAGCATATATTTATTATTTATTTATTTGTTATGTGCTTGTGTATGTTTGTTTGTTTGTTTATTTATTTAGTATACGTTTCTGCTTTAATTCTATTGCTTGATCTCTCTAATTTGAACTCTAAATCTTATTTATTTATATGCTAATTATTCGAAACATTATGCATCCTTATAGTTTGTTTATTTACTTACACCATTTCACACTGTCTTGGTTCCCCTTCTGGCTGATATCGTCTTATTCGTGAAGTCGAAATCATTGTATATTTGAACATCACAAGCTGTGATAGATGGGGCGGGGGCATCACAACTCACACCCTGGAATTAGCGTAAACAAAATCGAAAAACGAGGTCAGTTATGAGCTCTGAGCCTGTCCGTAAAATTTCCGCCCTCCGTAGGGTTTTTTCTAATCTCATTCACGCTGCATCCTACGGATCTCTCGCCCGAAGATTTTTCCTGCGCCTGTCTCGATGTCAAACGCCGGAATAAGTTGACTGCTCTGAGTGCCCGGATGTGTGAATGCCGTCGGAGTATGACCGAGGCGTGTAAAAACCTGTGTGTGTTGTGTCGTGTCTTATTCACGTTTTTCCTAGCATCAACAGGTTCGTCTATTAATTGCGTGACTATATCTACCTCTAATCGCGTCTAATACATCCTAGAGAAAGCTGGCTGCAGTTCTAATGTCTTAGCTCTTGCTATCTGCCAAAAAAGTTATCTACTTTAATAATCAACGCTTGATGGTTTATTGACTGCGCTATAAGTGCCTTTTTATATAGAAGCAGAATAGAGAGAGTCGAGAGATCTGATGCAGAGAGTAGCGTCCTAGAGACGATGCAGAGAGAGAACGGTCGAGAGAGAGAGAGAAAGATTGTGCTCGAGAGGGACTCCGAGCTCGTACTGCAGACTCGCAGAGTTAGATCCAGTCGCGTCTCGCGCGAAGGAGCTCGTTGAGAAGTTCAACAAGAGGAGAGCGAGGTCTAGAGTCAGCGGTGAGAGAGCGAGGGAGACGAGCGATCAAAAGAGAGCCGAGCGGGAGGACAGTAGCTGAGCGAAGAGAGAGAGAGCTCGGATTAAGAGCTAGAGCGACCGCGAGCGAGAGAGCTCACTCGCTGAAAGTGACGGCTGTGAGCAGTATGCGAGAGAGAGAGCGAATGACGGTGGTCGATGGGAGACGGCGAGAGACGTACGAGAGCGCGAGTAGTCGTAGAGGAGAGTCTCGAGAGAATGAGAGCACGACGCGGCAGCAGGGATGAGAGAGATCGCGAGGAAGGGGTAGGGAGATTCGAGCGGAGACGGAGATTCCTCTAGAGAGGAGGGATGAGTAGGGAGAGCTGACCTGAGCATGAGCCTTGAGAGAGCGAGAGAGCACGAGCGGAGCGACGTGGCGAGAAAAGAGTAGAGAAAGAAGAAGCGAGAGAGAGACGAGAGAAATGCGGGGATGCGAGACGGCTGCGAGAGGACAGCGGTGCGGGATGGAAGGTAGAAAGCCAGATGAGAGGGAGTTGGGCTATCTCTCGAGACGAGCGAGAGTACTCGAGAGCCAGCAGAGCTCTGAGAGTGAAAGAGTTAGGAAGTTATTAAGACGAGAGCGAGGAGCTCCCTGCGCAGAGAGAGAGAGAGAGAGAGAGAGGTGCGAATCGCTGGCGGAGGAGCGCGGAGAGAGCGAGGAGGAACCGTAGATGATGTACTCGATCGTACGTAGAGACACAACGAAGAAGAGCAGATGAGGAGAGAGGAGCGAAGCGAGAGAGATAGAGTCGGGGATGGACGGAGAGAGAAGAGAGGGATTGCGAGCGAGAGCGGAGAGATAGAGAGCCAGAGAGCGAGAGTGAAGAGGATATGAAGAGCGAGAGAGCGATGAGAGAGAGAGATGCAGAGCGAGAGAGCGAGAGAGCGAGAGAGTAGAGAGCGAGAGAGAGGCGAGAGAGCGAGAGAAAGAGGGAAAGAGAGAGACGAGAGAGAGAGCACGAGTGAGACAGAGCGAGAGAGAGAGAGAGAGAGAGAGAGAGGAAAGAGAGAGAGAGAGCAACGTACGAGAGAGGGAGAGAGATTCAGAGGAGGAAGCGACGACCGCCGAGAGAGAGAGGGGCAGCAGGGGCAGCTACTGGGTCGATGGAAGGAGGACAGTTGGGAATTTTGTGTGCGTGTTTGCGTGCGCGCGCGTTTTGTATGTGTGTGTGGCGTACATACATGTTTCGTCGCCCAGCGTGCGTGCGTCCTCTGTGTCTGCAGTGCGTGCATACCAGTGTTCGCGTCTCGGCTCGCGTGCGCGTGCGTGCGTGCGTGTGTAGAGTGTGTGCGTGCAGGTGTTCGTGTGAGTGTGTGCCGTGCACGCCTCTCGCGCTGTGTGTTGTGTGCGTGCACAGCCTGGGTGCGTGCGTGAGCTGTGTGCGCGTGGCACGCTGCGATTGCGTGAGTGTGTGGGTACATCGTGCCGGTGCGTCAGTGTGTGCGTGCACGTGCGTGGCGTGAGGGTGTGTTGGTGGCACTGTGCATGTCATGTTTCACCCGCGTCTACGTGCGTCTATGAACGACTCGCGTCTCTCGCACTAAAGCAGCTGCTAACATCAACCTACTTCTCACGTTACTACGGGCGCTACGGTCGCATGCGCGCCGCTGCTGCCGAAATGAATGTACGTGCTTCACCGACAACACGGGGGCACAGTACAGGGACAGAGAACAGTACCGGGCAGAACTACTGCGCACTGTCGCGTGGAGCGTTCCGAACACAGCTCAATGCCTTGTGTGTTCGTGAACGCACGCACAGCGCGGTGGTTCTCTGCACTGTTCTCTGTCACTGTATGTTCCCTTGTGTGTTCGTGAACGCACGCACAGCGCGGTGGTTCTCTGCACTGTTCTCTGTCACTGTATGTTCCCCCGTGTGTTCGTGAACGCACGCACAGCGCAGTAGTTCTCCGTACTGTTCTCTGTCCCTGTATGTTCCCCCGTGTGTTCGTGAAGCACGTACATGCATCGGCAGCAGCGGCGCGCATGCGCAGTAGCGGCAGTAACGGAGATAGGTTGGTTAGCAGCTGTTAGTGGGAGAGCGAGCGTTCATAGACGCACGTAGACGCGGTGAAACATGACATTCACACGTGCACGCACACACTCACGCATTCACGCGTGGTCACACACTCACGCATTCACGCGTGGTCACACACTCACGCATTCACGCGCACTCACGCACAACACACACACGCACGACGCAACGCGACGCACGCACGCACGCACAACACACGCGCGCGCGCTCACACACACGCACGCCACGCACGCACAACACACACGCACGCACGCACGCACACACACACGCACGCACGCACGCAGCACAACACACACACACAAAACATACACACACACACACACACACACCAACATACACACACACACACCACGCACAACCACGCGCGGCGCGCGCTCGCACACACCGCACCATAGACACACACATCACCAATACGCACACACTGATCTTTTTCTCTCGTACGGATAGTCGGATACACACACGCAGATACTCCAGCAGATCCGCAGACGCTGATACAACACACGCGCACTTCAGCATTCGCAGGAGACAGCGTGAGCCGGTATTAATCCTGCTAATTGGGATATCCCAGAAATCAAGACATACACATACGAACCACGCTCATACATATATATATATATATAGAGAGAGAGAGAGAGAGAGAAAGAGAGAGAGAGAGAGAGAGAGAGAGAGAGAGAGAGAGCAGAGAGAGAGAGAGAAGTAGAGAACGGACGGACTGAAGGCCGTGATGTCTCCTCCGCCGGCTTCCTTCCACGCTTCCTCTTTACCTCATCTCTACAGCTTCTCCATACTTCGTTCTTCACTACGAGATTCTTTATAACGCTCGTCTCTCTACTGTCGCTCAACGCTCCCAGGCTATGTGGATTCCTCTATTATGTTCTATCCTTTAAGCTTTCCTCAATTAAAGACGACTTGCACCCACTCACCAGTAGTTCCTCTCCAATCTACCATCCTATGCTCCTCTCTACCTTCTCTCTACAGCCTCGCCTCCCTATCTCAACATCCTATGTCTCCTCTCTACCTTCTCACTATAGCTTCCTTCCTATCTAACATCCTATGTCCCTCTCTAACCTTCTCTCTACAGCTTCCTTCCCTATCTAACATCCTATGTCTCCTCTCTACCTTCTCTCTACAGATTCCTCCCTATCTAACATCCTATGTCTCCTCTCTACCTTCTTTCTACAGCTTCCTTCCCTATCTAACATCCTATGTCTTCTCTCTACCTTCTCTCTATAGCTTCCTTCCCTATCTAACATCCTATGTCTCCTCTCTACCTTCTCTCTACATATTTCCTCCCTATCCTCCACTCACCTCGTGTAGGCTCCCACGACTGCATCGCGGGCGCCCCCTGGTGGCGCTCCCGTACCGCGCGCCCGATCGAAAACATGTGAACGTCGCTCGTAGCGACGCGTCCTCCCTCAGCCACGACGCCTGCTGGACTGACCCTCTCCCTCTCTCCCCTCTCCCCTCTCCCCTCATCTCCGCCACACGCGGACCGTTACCTTTCCTTCACTCTCCATGCGCCAGACCTCACGCCAGTGACGCCACCACACTGTTATTAATCAGAACAGAGTGACACACGCCGCAGTGCCTGCGTGAGAGAGGGGTCGGCAGGGGAGTGGGAAAGCGACACCGTCTTCCTGGGTTCTATCAGCTTTTATACGCCAGCTGTTGCCTCGCGCGCTACGACCGCGCGTGGGCTCGGGCAGGCGGGGTGGGCAGCGGATAGTGTTGCCTGAGGATAGTCGCAGCATATGGCGCATTGTTGTCATCTGACCCTTTATGTTCCCACGGGCCGGTAACAGTAGCAGCAGCAGCAGTAGCAGTAGCAGCAGCAGTAGCAGTAGTCGCAGTAGCAGTAGCAGTAGTGCAGTCCAGTAGCATAGTAGCAGTAGCAGCAGTAGCAGTAGGTAGCCCAGCACGGCATAGTAGCAGTAGCAGTAGCAGTAGCAGGAGCATGAGTAGCAGTAGTAGAGCAGTAGCAGCTAGTAGTAGCAGTAGCAGCAGTGCAGCAGCAGTAAGTAGCCAGTAGTAGCAGTAGCAGAGCAGCAGTAGCTAGCAGCGTAGTAGCAGTAGTGCAGTAGCAGTAGTGCAGTGCAGCAGCCAGAGCAAGTAGCAGACTAGCAGTAGACAGCAGTAGTAGTAGTAGTAGTAGCAGCAGC